CCACCTTAGTTAGAACTCTTTGTTAGTTTGGTTTAAAAGTAATATGTGGTTTTATAATTCTGATATGAGCCACATTTGTGCCAAATGAATTGATGTACCTTTCAGTCAGCAATATTACCAACTTTGATTCCTTTATTTAAAAAGCAGTTTTCACCACATTTTCTCCTTGACTACTGTGCAGAAATAACAAGTTCTTGTATTGATGGTGTGATTGCTGGTTTTTGTCAGCAAGAACCAGCAATGTCTACTATATATTTGAGGATATGTCTGTTGGAAATAAGCTAGGACACTTTGGATGCAGGTGAAAACAAGCGGAGGATTTATTATACACTAGCTGATGGAGTGACATGCAGGGGTTACCCTGGTGAACACTGGTTAATTAACACAATACAATAGGTTATATAGTCAGCAGGTGGACGGAGGAAAAATGATTTGATAGGTTTAGCAGCAAGATGAAATGAGCACATAAGCCAATAGAACTACTAAAGATTACATAATATCTCCGCCCATTGCAAAGTAACAACTTATTAATTAATACATATAGGTGGTTATTGTTTAAATGCCAAAACATGTTAGCAAAACAGTAATAACATTTTAGTCTGCATTGATGATGATGTTTCTTATAGCAGGCGGGTATGGCCTTGAATTGGTGCAGCACTTGTTTCTCAGGCTCATTATCTAGGAGTGAAGCAAGACAGTTAAGCAAATTTATGAACGTTATCTTAAGAAAAATGTGTTAGGTTACTAACTGGAGTCTTGTCCGAGTGTCTTAGAATGTGGTTGCTATGGTGCCCAGGGTTGTTTTACTATTTGCAGCTCTTATTCTGACTGTGGTGTTTCCAGGCCTTAATCCTAGAATGGAGTTATGCTATTTAGAGGCCTACTAGCACATTTAGGGCTGCCTCAGTTTACCCTACAATGTCTACACTACATTGTTATTTTGAAATAGTTAATTTGAAATACGTTATTTCAAAATAATACGTCTACACACAAAATGCATTTTAAAATAGCGTTTTGCTATTTCAAAATAATGCGTCCACACTGAGTGGATGCTGAATCACATTTAAGGCCAGCTGGAACCAGATCCAACAGCAGCGGTGGATATAGGGCAGGGTGAGCGGGGCGGCTGCCCCGGGCCTCGCACTTCAAGAGGCCCCGCGCATGTGCCATGTCAAAGGGGGGTCCCGCAAAATTGTGCTGCCCTGGGCCCCACAAAACCTTCATCTGCCCCTGTCCAGCAGGGCATCAGGTCAGGAGTTACTTTGTGTGTCTGCTGCCTGAGGCTATCTGAGGCCTGGGGCTATCTGTGCTTAAATGGACCCCCTCTGGACAGCTGGTTCTCAGGTTTCTCTGCTTGCTTGCCCACATCAGTGAGGGACAGCAAAGCATTTTGCCTCTGCGTGCTCTGGTTGCCCTCACTCAGGACACCACAGCACTCTGCAACATGGAGCCAGAGCTGCTCATGGGCACTCTGGTGCTCCTCATGGATGTGTTGCTGGGAGCCTGGCTGCACTTTCTGTGGGCTGCTATCTGGGAGGCCCTGCAGGAGAGCTTCCACCCTGAGGAGCTCTAAGAGCTTCCCTGGTCTACCCCACTGAGGGCTTGTGCTTCATTCCTCCCTCACATCCTTCCACTTACCCCTCTCTAACCCCCTTCCTGATGTCAAATAAAATACATGTATTTTCATGAACACAAACTCTCTTTATTTAACAAAACTGGGGGTGAAACTCTGGTGAGACTGGGGAAAGGAGGCAGGAGAGGGGAGAAGACAGGATGGGAGAAGGGAGAGGGAAACCTGGGAGGAGGGAGCTAGAAGGGGGAAGCAAGGGGAAGAAGGGGAAGGGGAAGCTCAGGGTTCAGGGTTGGGGGTCTCGCCGAACCAACTTGATTTTCATGCAAACCTGCTTCTGGGTTTGCATGTGGCCTTTGGTGGCCAGGCTGGCAGCTATCCTGCCATAGAAGGCCATGTTCCTCCATCTAGTGCAGAGATCATGGACTTTGGGAGCATCCCCCCAAACCTGAATAAGGTCTATGATCTCCACCCTGGACCAGGAAGGCGCCTGCCTTCTCTGGGCCTTGGCTGGCTCCTGGGAGCTGGCAGACTGCTCCTGGGGAGCAGTGGAGGGCTGGCTTCCAGTGGTTTGCTGGCTCATGTTTTGGGGCCACTGGGTCAGGGGAAGTGACTGCTGGCTTTGGGCTAGCAGGCTTGGAGTTGGCACAGGCACTGTGGCCAGAGTCAACCCCTTTAAGGGCTCCAGGGATGGAGGAGGGAGAAGAGTGTTCTTGGTTGAGGCTAGAGTGGCCACCAGGGCACCCTGGGAAGGCTGGAGGCCCCCTATTTCGATATGTGTCTCTGGGGAGGGGGGAGGGAGAGGAGTGTTCTTGGTTGAGGCTAGAGTGGCCACCAGGGCACCCTGGGAAGGCTGGAGGCCCCCTATTTCGATATGTGTCTACACAGCACTTATTTCGATTTAGCTATTTTGAATTTGGAGTTATTCCTCATGGAATGAGGTTTACCAAATTTGAAATAAGCAACCGCTATTTCGAATTAATTTCGATTAGCAGTTTGGCTATGTAGACTCTAGTAAAGTTATATTGAAATAACGGCTGTTATTTCGAAATAACTTTGCTGGTTAGACATACCCTGAGAGTCGTTTTGTGTCTGTCTGTCTGTCTGTCTGTGAGTCCAATTGTTCAAGAGCTCCTCCTAAACGGTAAGAGCTAGGACCCCCAAATTTGGTATACAGCTTCCTCTTATCATAACTTAAAGCAAGGTAAAGGTTTGGTTGTGCCAGGACAATGAGATGTGCCTGGAATTCAATTGTTTTTCATAAAATGAAACAAGAGGGGTCTGGATAGGAAGAACAGTTATACTATAAAAGGACCACAGGGGGATAGCAACAAGTCAGAGATAGGGACTGGGACAACTATAACCCCATTGGGACAGCAGGGGGCAGAGATAGAGAAAGGAACAGCTATCCACTATATATTTCAGAGAGTTTGTCTGTGCGTCTCTCTGTCCCCCAGCCAGGGGACATGCACCCCTCCTCTGGTTGTGCTCACTGCAACTGCAGCGGCTATGGACAGGCGCTTCTCATCTGACCCCAAACTGCTGGGGTGAGAGTGGGCTGAGTTGTCCTCTCTTTCTGGGGCAGCCTGTATACTGAACCTCTCATCCTCAGTCCCACCCCACAACAATTATTTCAGTGAAGAAAAACAAAATTTATTTGAGTTAAGGACTCAAGCAATGCTCGGTAAATTTTCTAGTAGCTAAATAAATACAAAATGTCACTTCCTGAAGGCAACAGGGGTTCATGCAAAGCTGGGAGTTGAATTCATATTACTTGACTCCCAGCTCCAGATCCTCCAAAATATGTAGGTACCTAAATGTCTTCGAGGAGCTGAGCAATAACACATTTAGTGCTGTCAAGGGACCATGTTGCCCTCACAACACCAATCAAGACAAATTATTTCTGTTTGTTCCAAAGATCAGACTAAAAATGTTTTAATTTTTAAAATATAGATTTGACCCTAAAAAACTCTGAAGTAGTTTTTTGTTATAGTAGACACCCATGTATCTGAAGAGAATGAATCACTGGGGGAAGGCATGCAAATTTATTCAGGCAAAGGATTTTTACGGTGACTGATACCATTGGAGAAAGAGGAGACTGTCCCTATTTTTGGATGACCACGTTTTTCATGTAAAAATAGATTGAATTGATTTCAATTATCAAGGCTTAAATGATGGAGGATATTGAACGAGAGACTGCAGCCAAAGGGAAATGACAGTTGGGAATGACAAGAGTATGGATGATGGGGAGGTGTTGATGTGGTGATGGGAGGTCAGGTAAGAAGAGTGTGGGTGACAATGGGGTATTTTAACAGTGTTGGGTATTAAAGGGGTGTGGATGACAATAGGGTGTTTGGATGGTGTTGGGAGTAAGAGGGCTTTGGGGACAGAAAGGATTCATGCAAAGATGGGAAGTGGGGGTGTGGAGGCATTCAAACAGTGATGGGAGGTTGCGTTAAGAGAGCTGTGGGTGACAAGGGGTGTTTCGGGTAAAAGGGCTGCAGGTAAAAGGGAGGGGTTCAGGCAGGGTTGGAGGTAAACTGGTGATGGAGAGGTGTTCACACAGTTGGGGGGGTAGGGTGTAGGAAGGGTGTGGGTGATGAGGAGGTGTTCATGCAGTATTGGGGATGTGGATGAGAAGGGGGTGTTCAAGCAGTGCTGGGTTAAGAAGGGTGCGATTGACATAGGGATGCCTAGGAGGACAGCAGAAATAATGCCTAGGAGGACAAGGGGTATTTGGGTGGTGTTAGGGTGAGATGACGGGGGATGTTCGGGGACTGCGGGATAAGAGGTTTGGGTGAAAAGGAGTGTTTGGGCGCTGGGGAACGAGGATGTGGGTGACTAGGGGGCGCTTGGGTGGTTTTGGAGAGAGGTTGTGGTGACAAGTAGGGTGTTCGGTGGTGCGGATGACAAGGGGCTGTTCGGGCGCTGGGGATGTCTGTGGTGTGTTTGAGTGGTGTTAGGGCGAGGGGGTGGGTGAGGAGGGGGCCCAGCCACTCTGACTTGTGGCCGGTGTTACAAGCGGATTCTTATACGTCACGCGAGGAGTGACGCCCCGAGAGCGCCCCTGTGACCTCACCAGGCTGTCTCGCCCTCTGTCCTCTGTCACTCGCGGGGCTGTTCGGGCGCTGGGGATGTCTGTGGTGTGTTTGAGTGGTGTTAGGGCGAGGGGGTGGGTGAGGAGGGGGCCCAGCCACTCTGACTTGTGGCCGGTGTTACAAGCGGATTCTTATACGTCACGCGAGGAGTGACGCCCCGAGAGCGCCCCTGTGACCTCACCAGGCTGTCTCGCCCTCTGTCCTCTGTCACTCGCTCCGGGCACGCCCCCCCTCCAACCGCCCTCCCCTCCTTCCTCCGCCTTCTGAGTGGCCCGGGCCAGGAGGGGGCGTGACCCAAGGCAGCGGGGCAGGGGCGGAGCGGCGGTGGGCGTGTCACTGGCGGTGAGTGACAGGGCGGGGCGGGGCCCGGGGGAGGCGGAGTCAGACGGGCCGAGAGAGCCGAGCTGTGGAGCGCAGCTGAGGGGAGACCGCAGACACCGACCCGCTTCGGCCGCCGCTTGCCAGGTAACAGCCCCACGGGAGCGGGGCCTGGCTGGAGACTGTGGGGCGGCTGCAGGGCCCGGCTGTCCCGCGCTAGGGCGGGGGGCTCCGGGCCTGACTCCCGCGGTCCGGGTGTGGGGCACCTCCTCGCAGCGGCCCCGGCCCGGTTCCGCACCCCCCTTCCCGTATCCGCGGCAGCGCCGTCACACCGAGCCCCCCGCTCCCAGGACCGGCAGAGCAGCTCCCCCCGCACCCGCCACAGCCACCCCCGCCAACAGCCCCCCTCCCGGAGCACCGCAGCAAGGCTCTTCCCCGGGTCCCCGCCGCTCAGTGTCCCTTGCCCCCAGCGCCACCGTCACCCCGGGCTGCTGTAGCGCCGCACCACTTCCTCCTCTGCACCCATCCGGCGCAACAGCAGCCCTCGGCACTAACACTCCCCCTTCCTCCCCCAGCAGCAGCAACAACAACAGTCTCCTTCGCCTCCACCAGCCACACCGCCTAATCCCCCATTCCCGGCAGGGCACAGTACAACCCAGTACTCCCCGCGCGCGCACACCCGTGGCTGGCTGTGGGTATTTGGAGAAGCTGGCTTGCGCCACGGGGGGTAGTTTCATTTCCTGTTGTGAATGTGGTTTTACTTTGTTGTTATCCCTCCCCCCCCCACACACACACACACACACTCCTCCTATATACATACAAATTTTTCAGCCGACACTTCTTACCCTTACCCACCATCTCCACCCTGCAAGATAAATAGTACCCAAAGAATTAGCCCTTGGACTGATCCCAAAGTAAGAGGTCCAGAGATAACTCTCTTGGACCAGTTATCCTTTTGTTCTTCCATCTCAGCAACAACACACTTCCTACTCCAATAAAAACCTCTAATAAACCTTTCCATTTTTTAAAAAAGTGGCACAGAGTGAATTTGTTTGGATCAACACATCCTACCCAGTGTAATAGTTTCAGCTACACAGTCTGTTGCATTAATTTCCATCCAGCCCCAATTGACTCTGTTCCTGTTCAGTCCCTCCCATAAGGTAAATCTAGGGAACACCAGGGGTATCAGTAACCTGCAAACATGATAATACTATTTGAATGGTGGGTGGGAGAACAACCACTCTCTGTGGGGTTGCTACTGAGGGGGTTGTTCCTCCTGCCTTGGTAGCGTGCTACCTGTGACTCAGACCCACAGTACTTTTGTGTTTCATGTCAGCTGTTTCCTCTTATTTGTTGTCAAGTTGCCTGTGCTTCTGGTAGAGCCTCATTCTCAAACCAGACATAGACTGAGTGTTAACTGATTGGCTCCTGGCAGCCCACATGACCAGTATCAGCTGTTGGATTGCTCTGTCTCTTCCTCCCCACCCCTCCCCCTTTGGTTTTCTTTGTGTACAGTTTAGGTTTAGATAATAGAGGCTGCTCTGTATGTTCTGGGTCTTGTGGGTATGAGCAAAGGCAGTAGCGCATGCTCTTGCAGTCATCTGCAGTGGCTGCTCTGTGAGGAGGATTCTAGTGCTGCAGTGGTGATGCTATTGCTGTAGCCAGAGCCCAGCTTACAGCCAAATATAGCAGTAGCCTCAGTGACTAAAACATTTATCAGAGAGGAGCAGGCTCTGCACTTTTTAAAAATTCTTTAATAGACTTCATTTGAACAGCCTACATTCATAACCTGCTTATGAAACAGGAAGAACTAAAACAGAATAATCAGTAATTTGCTTTTGAAAATTGTGACAACTGATAATTTTGTTAATATAAAATGCCTTGTTTCAAAATTCCCTTCCAAGTATATATTCTTTTTACCTGTAGGTGCAATTTTGAGGCAGTTGACATGCACAGTTTAGGTTTCCTTTTATAAAAAACAGTTATTACAAAGAATTTCATGACTTAACAAATTGTAAAACTTTATTGTGATTCTGTGTGCAAATACAGCTTTCAGAAACAAAGTGACAGTTTAAATTCTTGTCCCACTGCTTGCCACGCTCTCCCTCTCTCTGGCAGCTTTTGCGGCCAAAGACCGTAAGAGTGTGATGTTGTCATTCTGTCACCCTGCACAGGGAAGGGGGGGATTTTAACATAGCTACAGTCTTTCCAAGCCAAGATGGGACCCTGACAGTAGCACTGACTAAAATAAATACTCAAATTGTTCTCAGTATTTGCACTTAACTTAGTTTCAACAGTGAAAACCAGAAGTATAAAGGCTGAGAAGTTGAAGAATAATTTACTTTTAACATTCTTTGATATGATGAGTTATGGATTAGTACCACATAGGGATGTTAAATGTAGGTTAATTGGCTAATTAAATAGTTGATGCAATTTACATCGACTGTTCGATTAGTCAATAAGAGTGCCTCCACCTTTGAAGTGTAGCAACAGCCTCAGGGCTGTTGCTACACTTCAAAGGTGAAAGCGCTATGAGGAGAACGAGGCCAGTGGGGGACTCAAGCAGTCTCCCACTGGCCTTGTGCCTCCTACGGCATTTCAAAATGGCAGCACTGCATGGAGCCTGGAGTTAGCTGAGTCCCCAGCTAACCCCAGGCTCCATGTGGTGCTGCTGCTTTGAAATGCCAAGGAGAGCCTGGTGTAAGGCACAACTCGCCGTTTCAAAACAGCAGACCCTGAGCTCCATGTGGCACTACTGCTTTGAAATGCTACCTGCAACCCAGGCCATCTGGGGAATGCCCAGGTGGCCCCAGGCTGCACACCGCATTTCAAAGCTTCAGCTGTGCATGGAGCCCAGGGTCTGGCCCCGGACTCCACATGGTGCTGCTATTTTGAAGCACCTCCATCCTCTCCCTTCTCCCCTCCCTCCCTCCCACCTTGCTGTCTCTTTCTGATAGAGGCGACAAGGGGAGAGGAAGCGACTAGTGTATCAACTATCCGATAAGCAAATGCTTTCTCAGATAGTCAAGTAGTCATTCACATTCCTAGTACCACAGTTAAGGAAATTTATTCTTTGATAGTCATCTTAACTAATCCTTTTTACGAAGACACTACAAGTGACAAACAGAAAAAAATATATTTATAGCATCCAGGAGGGCATATTATGCATGTTAGCACATCTAGCTTCAGATGATACAAACTGTTTAACCATTGACGTAGTTGTTCTCTTTGGTTATAGTGACGTGGTGTATTGTCTAACATGGACATAAGCTTACTGATTTACTTTCTCCTATTCTCTCCTCCCATATCCCTTGCCCTTCAATCATGGCATCCCCTTTAGCCTGCTTATGATATGATATTCAGCATGCAGGAAATACCAAAATACTGGAAGTGTGTTATGAACAATCCATATTGCAAAAAATAATGATCTTGCAAGCAAACCTATTTCCTGACCTTTCAAACTTAGATAAAATGTTATGTGGCTATGTCAGGTTTCGTATAAATCCAGAAAGACCCCAATACTGCTAATGGATTAGCATGGCTAGTCCCAGTTGTCTGCACAGCGCTGTATTGAAATCAGTATAATTCTGACTGAGTCTAACATTTACCTACACAGAGCCATTTTCAGGATTAGGGCCTTAATGATGTGTAGGCTTTATGTTTCTGCTTCTTCTGTTCCCCCTCCCCTCCAACTTATAAAAACTGTTATTTGTTTAAAAGCATCTTTTCTGTTTATGCCTTTCTGAAGTGTCATTCCATCTGTCATGAGAGATGTTGAATCAGCCTTAAGTAAACCCCATGTCCTTAATTGATAGTTGACGCTTTGAGTTTCTTCAGTGCTAGACTGATCTTGATCATCTAATTATTACAAATTTCACTGCAGTTACATTCAAAATCAATTTTGTCTAACAAATTTTGGATTTGGATCTCTTTCATCTGACCTGGATTCTCAGGGAACTAAATTATTCATTCCAAGTGTTTTAATTCTGGAAAACATTTTAACTGAGGCAAACAAAAAAATCCTAAGTAATGTCTATATATCAACACAAACTTATAATGCCTAAACTAGTATGAGAGTACCACTAGTCTTGAGTAATATATGGCATGTTGGTTTCTTTTTTTTTTCTTTTTTTCCCCAAAGGAGCTATTTTAAAACACTACTAGATTTTTTTTTTTTTTTTTGAAAAATAATTTTGTTGCACCTTCCATAGAGTAAAATGAAATACTAAGATTAGGTTAAGGAATCAACAAAGGAAATAAAAACATGTAAAGTCTGAATGACTTAGACATATACAAGATATTATTGCCTGTAGTTTGTCTTCTAGTAGTGATGACTAATGCTGAGAGGTGACATTTTAATTTCTAGTTTTTGTAATTTTGTGTCTACAGAAACATCCTTTGTAAACTTCTGTCACCCATTACTTTCCCATTATAACTTTCAAAGTATTTAAATATCTTTTAAACTATACATTTAATTCCCTATAAAAAGGTTTCAGTCTTGTGTGGAGTGAGAGATGTGGGGTGTGCCTGAAAGCTGCGTCAAGCAGGTAGGATAGCAAGACCAGAAATGTTACTAGAAGCCTCAGACAAACTTGCTAAATATTGTACTTCCCTTTTCAGTCTTTGCTGTAAAATTGTGGTGGTTCCCAATAATTTAAGTTATCCAAGTTCCTTTTCTAAAATTAATTTGTGGGAGGTATTTTGATTTGTCTTTTTTTCCCTTTCAGTGGGGACCTAGTTAGCATGATATTCTTTATGAATGACTTCTTTGGTGTCTAGGTGGAAATATTATACTATGAACTTTTGGTAATATTGATATTCTTAAATTTTAGGACCTTTAGCTGTCGTCAAAATCTTTTAGTGTATAGCACCACTTAAATATTTCTATAGTGTAAGCAAATTTCGAAGTCCCTTTCCTGCCAGCGTGTGTCAGTTCTACACGTTTGTATGTGAATATAGTTGTTCAGTTTTCACTGGCTTATTTTAAATGTCTAATAAAATATTGGTATTTTTAGAATGAAGATTAGTACCATTTGGACACTGAAATTAATTACATATCATTTGGGCATCTGTATTTAACATGTATAACTTTTTGTGAAAGTTAATGAAGGGAGACTAAAGTTCACTATTCTTAAAATATTTTCAAAATTAATACAAAACAACAATCAATAAACAGTTAATTTTTGCTCATCAAAGACAGTTGAAAAATCAGGGACTAAAGAGGTAATCCTGTGATTTGGAATTTAGGTAATTTCTGGCTGTGGACTTTCTGTGTGAACATGACTTCATCCCTGTCTCTCCCTTACCCATCTGTGAAACAAAAGAAATAGCTCTGCCTTGCCATGATACTGTGAGGACATGTACATTAATGTCTGTGGTGTTGTGCTGGTGCATAGGGCAATAAAGAACACAGTAATGCAAATTGTCAGCTGACCTATCTTCTTTGATACAGGCTGTCTTGTTTGTTTACTACATCAAACACTATATTCAAGTATCAGGGGTAGCCGTGTTAGTCTGAATCTGCAAAAGGTGCCACAGGACTCCTCGTCGCACAAACACTATATTGATGCACTAGATTGGCACTGCTACAATTGATGCAGTGGGTTTAAATTTAGCAGGTCTGTTAAAGATATGTTGAATGGATAGGTGAACACTCTTATATTTATTTGCACTTACCTTACTCTTTTTTTTTTTTTTTTTAAAGTCCATGACAAAATGTAGATACTTGTGTAAGTAGAGGTAAACTACGTCAACTGCAGGTACATTATTCATATAACCAAAATACCATAACTCGGGTTGACTTGCCACCATAGTGTAGGCCAGCCCTCAGACAAAGATGCAAGAGTCTTTATACTCCTATATCAAAATAACCTGAAGAAATCCCGTATTGGGCCTATCCATAATAGGGAATTGTATTGTGGAAATTTGCATCAGTGAAACTGACTGAGTGCAAATTGCAGTAGTGCAGAGCATCCACATTAGCTACCCTTTTCTAGGGGGTTACAATGAAGTGCATATGGACAATTATTTATTATACATGTTCCTTTTTTTTGTTTCATTGCCTGCTTCAATTTGTTCTATCCTGCATAAGGATGCACGCTTCATAAAAAGCAGAGTTTACACCAGGCTTGGGCAAATTACGGCCCGCAAGCCAGATCCGGCCCCCCAAGCCACTGGATCCAGCCCATGGACATTGCAAAGAGTCCCAGGCAGACTCCCCACTTGCCTCGTCCCACCCACATACCACTCTAATATAAACAGTAAATTTGTATGGGGGGGGGGGGGGGAGGAGGGAGAAGCTTTAGGAACTTCTCCCACGTCCAGCACAATCCCATTAGCTGGTTTCTGTCTAGAAACCAGCCAATGGGAGCTGCCTTTTTCAATAACAGGCAGCCACAAAGTACAAGGGGGTCCAAAGCACATGGATGCAGCCTGTGGGGGGTCAGGACAGGCAGCAGTGTCCCTTTAAGCTGCTGGCAGTACAGCTTCACAGGTGATTAATCAGCCCTGCCCAGTCAGAGGCTCAGGGTTCCATGAACAGAGTTGACTGACTGGGAAGAGCACCTGTGAAGCTGTACTGCCATGCAGCTTGGAGGGAACACTGGGAGGCAGGGAAGCTGATTCAGGAACAGCTGCTGGTTGGTAAGTCTCCTAGCTAGAGCTTGTCTTTAGCATCCCAGCCTTTCGCCTTCCCCAATGCTTTACCCTCCTCTCGGGCCTCCTACTCCGCATACACAAATCCTCTGACCCCCTCCTGTACCCATATCCCCTTCCAGATCCGGCACCCCAGTCGCCTGCCCCAGATCACAGTTCTGAAGTCTCCCTCTGTAATCTGGTTTTAAAGTCTCTTTGTAGTAAGACACATGTTGACAGGTCTTTAAAGAGGGAGACTTTCCGAACTTTTACTTATGCTAAAATTTGACACCTTGCAAATGGGCCTTAACATAGATAATTACCTTACATATTACAAAGACAGCCTCCCCACGATTTGATATTCGTAGTAACTCCAGATTAGCCACTTATTGACTCTTACAATAAGCAATTTCCTCCTTCCTTGTCTCTTCCTTGTCCCCTTGCCCCTACCTTCTGTTCTATGTAGCTGATTCGTTAGTTTGTAATTTGTTTACTTTTTTCATTGTATCCCTCTGTTATTAATGATCATGCCAATTTACTTTCAGAATATGATCTGAAGAAGTGGGTCTTCTCCACGAAAGCTCATCACCTAATAAACTATCTTGTTAGTCTTTAAAGTGCTACATGACTGCTTTTTTTGTTGTTGTTTTACCAAGACCAGAGTAACACGGCTACCTCTCTGTTACTATCAAGGAGGATGTATGTCTGTAGTTATATCTATGCACCAGTTATATTTAGGAATTGTATATGGTGTGATATTCTTAACTTTGCTGTCAATTTATTAAAACTGCCAAAAGATAATAGACCTTGTTCTTGTGATTGTATGTGTTGCTTACCTATAGTTTCATGTCTTCCTGTGAGTTCTAAATCTAGATTCTAGAACAAAGTTATCTCTGTTGAACTTGAAGCTGTAACCACCAAACTCACTATATTATAATGGTGCTAAAATTAACATCAAATACAATTTTAAAAGATTATACTGCATATTCACTCAGATGTAATGTTGGAAGATTATCAGCTCCTGCTGTACTTGCTATTAGCTTGACTGGGCCTGGAGGCCCGGATTGTATTTTGATGAGCATAAACACCTTTGGGAGGCACAGCTAAGACGGTAAGGAATTGACTTTATTTTCATTCATTTATCCAATAATTCTTGGTTTTTGTTGTGCTCTTTTTGTGTTGCTTTGTTTTGTGGCTTAACTATTAGTTTCTTTCTCGCTTGTATTTCTTTCTAGATACAAAGTTGAAATGATCTGTACTTGGTTCCAGTGTGAGTACCTCTTCTCAGCCTCTCTAAATGTGGCTCTGAGTTTCTTCTGTACTTAAAGGACCATGTTGTGCTCCTATGTTGTGCACCACTTTTCCTTAAGGGAATGATAGTGAGTGCTGGAGGACCATGGGAAGGTAAAAGAGTTTACTTGGCAATATGAAGACTGAAGTCTGCATTTCCTTTAATTAGCAATCTTCTTCAGTTTTCTCTTAGATTCCAGGAATGGTGGGAGGTGGTCCTGAAACAGTGGCTAGACTGATGGAACAATCCCTAAGTGAAGCGAGTTTGTATGTTCAGGGGTCCATTGTCAAAACAAATATCAACAGGTGGTGTATTTTCAGGTGATTCTCTGTGGGACCAAAATCTCTCAATTGTTAGAATGCTTTTTAAAAAGTTAATAAAGTTTATCTTGCATTATGTTTCTTCTGTCATCTGTTGCTTGTGTGAGTAGAATGGGTAGAGGACATACCGGGGAAGCTATGGTACTCTTGAGTGTCCAGTAGGTAAATAGCTTAATCGGTGACAGCTATTTGCCCTTAGCTGACATCTGCAATTCACTTAATAAAAGTCTCTGTTACTGACTCTGAATCACTTTATTCAGAATAATGATATTCACTTGAATATTGGTCATCTAGTTTCCAAATGTTAACACAAGAAGCTTTGAACTTTTCCATAAGGACATTGAATATCTTGCACATATTTATTGCATGGCAAAGAACAGATGGAGCTGCATAGTTGCTTTAAGGAAAGTCTGAGAGACAAGAAGTCTCTACCTATTCCTCAGTTTCTGCATTTTGGATCATTATCTGTGAATGTGTCTGGTACTACTTGTAGATTCTTCAAGAACAGCATGGAAGTAGCATAATTATTAATAGCTGTGCTGATGCCTTCAGGGTTATGAATGTCAGCAGAGAACTTGAACTATTTTGAGAAGTCCATTGCAGCTATTTGTATGCAGATGCATGGAGACAATGCTGGACAGGTTTATGATCTTCTTTCATTGGAATTTAGACCTCCAGTTATAAAAGTCTAACTTTTTTTCAACAAAGGCATTAGTTTCTGCAGAGTTAAAGCCTTAGTGTCTCATTCACTGGAGAGAGTTCCCACTCCCATTGGATACCTCTTCCACGGGATGTTAATTGATCTAATTTAACTTTTTTCAGCTTTATCTTGAGCAGTATTCTACCTTCCATTTAAGGTCACTGGTTACTAGCCTCGAAGGCAGAAAGGCAGCTTTTTACTTCTTCTTCTATATTGTTGTTTGACATGCTTGACTATAATCCAACCAAATTTCTTTCCAGGGCTTAACATCAGTATGTATGAAAGAGTAGACAGCCTTTGTTCACAGCAAGATATCTTCTCTACATGTGTATTCTGCAGACAAAGTAGTGCTAAACTGGTGCTCTCCTGAAAAATATCAGGGAAGCCTCTCAAGGCTAAACGCAGAGTTTTCCTAGCATTTTCCTGCTCCTTTTTAGCGACATAGCTGGTCCAACTACTCAAGATCAAATCAGTATCCCTGTGCAGATACGAGATTGGTATCCACATTGATATGTGCAAAAACAATCTGCGGATTCCACATCTGCATATGCAGATACTTGTGGATATCCAAGAGTTTGCCGGGTTCTGTGCGCACAGATTCTC